CATCTTCATCCATATATTTACATGCCCTGCAGGAAACGCTCCCACCCCTTTTTACTTTTTCAAAGCAATTTGTTTCAGTATTTTAGCATACAAAAAAATAGAGCCATTTTCTTCAATGTAAACAGAGATCTGCAGGGAAATAAGAGCATTAAAAAAGAATTAGCATTTGTTTGGTGGTAAAGCTGCTTTCATTTGTATCAAAAAGCTCTGCATGTTTAGAAGTGCTTGCCTAATCTTAGTTATTTCATACACAAGAGGGACCTAATTGGATAAATTTCTAATTTTTTTAATTGCATCTTTCTATATTTCTTAATGCAAAATGAGAAATGTTCTAGGAACAATGGAAATAATGGGCATTAGATTCCTAAACATTAAAAAATCCATAATATACAGTGTACCAGGTGCAAATTTATTTTTCAGTGCATGGGGAGCTTACTGCAGAAGGCATAGGGTGGCAAAAGGTGGATTAAACAAAAGAAAAAAAAATCCATTTTTCTGTCCTCCATCAGTACTAATAGTAAAAAACGTATTAATTTTGGGCTCTGCATCTTAGGGATTTATTTAGGTTCTCAGATCTGGGATTTATCATTACACTAACAATAAGAAAATGGATTGTTTAGCAAATTAATAGTGTAAATAAGATTGGGGGGCGGATATTAGGCTACCTAAAAAGACTCTCTGCTTTCTATCACTGGAAAACTGTTTAAGCAAATTATTAGCATCTAATGCAAATACTTAAATAATTAGTTTTGCATGTTTGATTAGTATCTATTAAGGCAATTAAGACAAAACCTCATTTTGCTAACAGGACCTTTTTGTAGCAACGTATTGTTAGTTCATTTTAAGGGGCTCCCTTAAATGATATATTTTTACCTACAGCATATTGTAGTGACTGGTTTTAGAGTGTAAATCAAAAAGTGTCTGGATCTGTCTCTAGCTAACTATGAACAAGTCTCAATCAATTGAGGAAGTGTTTTTTTTTTTTTTTTTTGGCCAAGGTTAAGGATGCACCCATGATACAACCTCAGGAGATCCTGAGGACATGTGCCCAAGGTCACTGGTGAGGGTATACTTTGCTTTTATACATCTTAGGGAGACAGAATACTTTCATCAATACATGTAAGATTTACATTGGTTTGATCTGGAAGAGTGGAACAACTAGAAGGGTGGGGGCTTCTAGGTTGTAGGCAGATTTAAAATTTTTCTGTTTGGCTATTGGTTGAAAGAGTTATCAGTAATAAGGAATGTCTGGGTTCTGATAAGGTGTTGTGCAGAAGGAGGTTTTATCATGAAGATAAAGCCTCTAAGTAGCAGGCTTTAGAGAGAATACATTGTAAATGTTTCCTGTTAGACTTAAGGTCTGTGTTGATGTTAATGCTGGAGGGGTAGAATGAAGCCTGTCCAATCCCCTCTTCCATCACAGCCTGAACTAGATTTCCAGATGAACTCTGGAATGCCCTTGGCCAAGAGGAAGGGCTCATTCAGATGGTTGTGGGCCTCAGAACTTTATTTTTGGTTTGCAAGAGTTAGTAGCCCTGTAATATATAGCCTAAGATTAAGGTATCCTTTAGAAAAGCTACTTAGAGTATCAAAGCCTTAAATTTCTCATAGGTCAAATGTCAGGTGATCTGGTCCTAGATAAGTAGTTATTATAGAAAGTATCAGAATGACTTCAGAAACTTTTCAAATAGCTATGATTGTTCTTTTAATCTCTTCCAAAATTCTGATATGTACCTTAAATTAAAAACTAATGCCAAAAAAAAAAATCTAATGCCCTACATGGTCTTCATAGATTCTAACTGTATTCAATATTATGTGGTTCAATATTGTATAATTCATAATTTTCAACAATTTGATGCTTTAAAATATTTATTGTGTTTACTATGTGAAATCTACAATAGGAACTCCAGGGGATACTAGGATAAAAATGTATTGTTTTTGCCTTCATGGTGTTTATAATATAATCTAGTAATTCTGTTGGTTTTTATTCAGTTCCAAATCAGTGAGATTTTACTCTATTTATATGTGAGTTGGATGCAATAATTTTAACCATTGTGAACTTTTAGTGAGTAAATCCTCTTGTTCCAAAAGGAGCAAATAATTAGAATAGAGCAGAAAGGGTCCTTTTACCATTCATCAGAATCATCTGGAAGAGGTTTTTTTGTTGAAGATTTCTGGGCCCACTTCAACCCTTCTGAAACAGTATCCTTTGGGTTGACACAAGAATCTGAATGTTAAGCAGATACTGAAGGTGATTCTCTAGGAACATGAAGTTTAAGAAACACTGCCAAGATGAATAATATGAAATAAAGCATATGTCTGGAAAAAATGAGATCAAATGAGGTCAGCTAATAGAGGGCCAGCCAGAGTTGTGTTTTTCAGTAAAATGTAGATACATTTAGAGTTAAATGAGGAGAAAATAATAAAAATTTTACCTTTTATACCTTATCTCCTTTGGGAGAAGTTGTAGTGCTTGAAGGCACATTTTCATCTGTGGAAATCCTCACAGATGTTTTTTTTTGTGTGTGTGTGTGTGTGAGAGGAATAAAGCTGATTGAGTTCCTTTATGGTTTTATACATTATAAAATATTTTTTGTAGTTTTCTGAAGAAAACTACATGCTTAGCACATGCTTCTTTTATCAGCAAATGTCCTGGCAGTAAATTGTCCATATAGCATTTTAATGCCAGACCTTCTGGTTCTTATTCTGGGGAAGGTGCTGGGATATACTTAAATGTGTGTAGTCACATGCATACACACACATGCACTCAGACGTCTTTAGAATTGTAAGTGGTATCTGTAGTGTATCACCATCTTTCTTTTAATCCAGCATTGACTTACAACCATCCAAATAAATTAACATTCTCATCTTGATTCATTTGGCAAGAACAAATTTTCATGCCAGTATGTGGGCTCACCTCTATGACCTTTCTTCATAAAAAATACCAAATGCTTTGGGTTTTTGTGTTAATGAGCATTGGGAAGCTGTCAGCTTTTATTCTGTTTTTTGTTCAAGTCAACATTATTGACCTTCACCTAATGATCTATGTAGCATACACACACAGGTATCAGAGATTAAAAGTGGAAAGATGGAGAAGTAAGGAGAGATACAGATAGAGGAAAGGTGTGAGGGCAGGCGAATTACAATTCATGATGCCACTAAAATTAGTAAAGTCACTTGAAAAGGAAAAGGAAAACTGCTGTGTGCTGTATTTTCTTTCTATAGGATTAAGTGGGATAAGGTATCATTTTAAAATGAATTTTCAATTTGTTTTTAGAAAGGTATTTAACACTATGACACATATGCTCCAGGTTTCTGAGTACCCTTTCCATAGATGATAAAAATAATCCAGGGTCTTCTGATGAATAGGTATGGATCCACCCTTTTTCTGGTACTTATGCTTCCACTAATTCCATATCACCTAGGGTAACCAGCTGTCCTGGTTTGCCTAGGAGCGTCTATTTTAGTGCTGAAGTTTTTCATGTTCCAGGAAATCCATAAGATAGAAATCCATAGTTTTGTCTGTTCAGATTCTTTTTTAAAAATTATTTGAAAACTAGCGTAGATATCTAAAATGTGACAATTTCAGTTTGGAGGCCTGTTTCATTGATCTAGAACATGAATGCTGGGTGGAACTTTAGCTTTTTTTATCTAGCACTTCCTTTCCAAATGAAGCAACTGGGGCTCATAGAGGGTGGCTAACTTATTGCTAAGTCTACACAGTTAGCTAGAGACAGATCCAGAACTTGAACCCAGGTTCCCTGACCTCTAATTCATGCTTGTCTCAAATTGCTACATGTGCTTGAAGGTATGCTAACCTCTCAAAGGAGTTAATTTGTTTTCAAACTAACCTCTCAAAGGAGTTAATTTGTTTTCAAAGACTGAGTAACTTCATCTGAGAGAGAAGCTAATTCATTTAGATTGTGCTCCATTAATTGCTCCCTGGTATTCCTCTGCAAGAGATTATGAATTAATATTGAGGAGTAGTGGCAGAAACTTCTTCCCCATGGTGAAACTGTCTTTTCTCGTAATCACAAACACTGCATCATCCTTGAAGAGAAAGAGTTTAATAAACATACATAATTCTGTGGAAGAGGTGCTGTGATCCTGGTATTTCTATTAATTTCCAATTAATATTTTTTCTTGAAATAATAAGCCAAAAACAGCATTTGCCGTTTGCCTTCTGCTGTTTAGAAGATGAGCACATAAATGTTAAATGTTACTCCCTCTGAAATACTTGCAGCACTATCTTAAGCCTATATTTTATTTATAAATTAAGTTCAATATTCTGAACTAGCTTGCACATCTTCCATCTGTTCTGTAATATCTCTGCCATCAAATCAGAAAAAAACTCTAACAACACAATCTTGAAATTCAACTTGAAAAATTCAAAAGCCAAGTCAATATTTTCATTGAGAGATGACAGCCCTGATGACTTTCTTAAATTTGAGCTATTCTTCCAGACAGAATTACAGAATTAAAAGACAACCTTTTACTCTTGTCTTAAGGTTCATCAAGAAAGACTTATGTTACTCAATTAGTTGAGGAACAAAGATTGTTATGGAATTTTCCCAATATCTAATTTTATTTCTTTGGCTAAATGAATCAGTAGAAAAATTTTAGCCTAATATATTTCTATTATATTTCTTTCCACTTTAAAAATCCTGTAAATCAGCAGCATTAAATGTTCCAGGATGATTAGGGCATTAAAGAGAATTTTTATTGAATCAGTACTTTTTACTGATGTATCTTTGGTACTACAATCTATAATTGGCATTAACCAGTGGTAACTACTTGTAGCTTTCTCCAAATAAATGTACAATTCAAGATTCCTAAAGCAGGAGGCTTTGGAGTAGTTCAGTATGTACTAAGGGCAACTCAACCTTTGAATGAATCAATTTTGTTGAAAAATAATCTGACCTGCCAATAATATGTGATTGCATAGGGACCATAGCTGGTGACTGTAATCTTGATTGCCATCTGTCTCTTCTATTATCAAGGGGATCATCCAAGACGGGAAGATCATCTTTATGCCAAATGGATATATAACACAGTGTCCAAATCTAAATCGCAGTAAGTAGCAACTTAATGCATTTTGATATGTTATATAACTTGTTGATCATATCAGAGAAACACATCTGGAAAGACAGACACAAATTGTTTACAGTGTTGACTTCTGAGATGCTGGGGATAGTGAAAGAGAACTTATTATCTATATTATATAATTCCGTGTCTTTAAAAAATATATATCATTTATTGTCTTAGTCAGTTTTCATACTGCTGATAAAGACTTACCTGAGACTGGGTAATTTGTGAAAGAAAGAGGTTTCATCAACTCACAGTTCCACATTGCTGGGGAGGCCTCACAATCACAGTGGAAGGCAAAACAGGAGCAAAGTCACATCTTACATGGCGGCAGGCAAAGAGAATGAGAGCCGAGTGAAAGGAGAAACCCCTTATAAAACTATCAGATCTTGTGAGACTTATTCACTAACATGAGAATAGTATGGGAGTAACCACCCTCATGATTCAGTTATTTCCCATTGGGTCTCTCCCACATGTAGGAATTATGGGAGCTACAATTCAAGATGAGATTTGAGTGGTGATGCAGCCAACCTATATCATTTATTGAATTAAAATTTGAAAAGAAGAGGGTTACATTAGCATGTTCTACAGGTGGATATAGAAAGATATGTTTAATATAATATATATTTTTAAAAACCTATTCTTTAAAATCCTTAACCTGCATGAAAGTTTACTTTTTCTTCTTCTACGATACTTCACAGTTTTTCAGTTGCCTTTCTATAGAAATGAGAGTTTAATTTTAACTTTAAAATGTCATGTTGCCTTTTTTTTTTAAGTTAACAGTGCATTTTTCCTGTTCCTTTCTTTTTGTTTATTAAGCTAGGAAAAGATTCAGACCTGAAATCTTCTATGATTTCACTCAAATTTTGAAGCAATATTAACCAAAAAGCCCCCCAAAACTCTTCTACATAGTCACATATCTACTGTTTTAAAATTTTATTTCTCATATTAGCACAATATAAATATATATTTTATATTTTTTTTATTGAGCTTGCCCAACCTGCAGTGATTTCTTAAGCCTGGTGCAAGGAATAATGGATTTACAAGAGCTTTTGGCCAAGATGACTGCAAAAGTAGGTATCTAAATTTCACTTGTGATGTTTCATTTCTTTTTCTGTCCTATCTGGAATTTGGAGTGATATGTTATAATGGAAACATTTTTAGCCTTGGCATCTGCTATATGTTACTACAAAAATGGTTTATTCTTACTCAAAATAGGACTACCAATAGTAAACATAACCATTCCTGTCTTTGGTGCTATTAAGCTGTATCATAATGTTTACTTGAAAAATGTTTGGAAGCGAGAGGCAATATGTATCACTGTAGATTCCACAGGAGTGGAAAAGGAATTTGCCCAGTGGCTATTAAAGTAGTAACACTGTAAGATGATCTATGGTCAGAGCCAGTGCTCTTAAAGGCTAATGCATTTCGGTTGTAAGAATAATTGCAAATAATCAGAAGGGGCAAAATAGCTGTTGTTAGGAACAGATTACTGTCGAAGGAAGGCATTATATTACATTTTTAATGTATAATTCATTTCAAGGTTGGTCCTGAATTAAATAGCAAAGGAGGCAAATTTGCCTTTCAACACCTTTGGTTTTATAACTCTGCACCTTTTCCTCCTCTCCATTCCATCATCCACTTAACAAGCATCTTTCGAGGACCTGCTGTTTGCTATGCACTGTGTTAGGCACAAAGAGGCAATGGTGAGCAAGATATGCTTTCTACCCTAGATATGTTCATATTGAGTGGCAGAACCAAATGTGTAAATAACTAAGGTCTTTAATATATATATTCATGAAGTGTATATTCATAATAGAAAGCCCTGAGCCTTGTTGAAAAAGACACTGAAAAAATAGAAAATGTGGCTAATGCTGTTGTTATGATACTAATCAGTCATGGACATGAGTTCCGGCCTAGGGCAAAGAAAGAATTAGGTTGGGCCTAAGAGACATTATATCCTGCAAAAGGAAGAATTTTAATAACAGTGAAAATGATACATTAATCCTATTGTACCTGCAGCTAAGATTGCTCCCTACCATCAACCATGGCATGTGCAAAAAAATTGGTGGGTTGGTAAGTGTTTGGGAGATAAGGCTATATTTTGGTCCATAGATTGTGCTGCTGAAGACAATGTTTCTATTTCAAATTGGGTATTTGGCCAAGTCAAGCCCCCTTTTGCCTGGAAGGGAGACATGGAAAGCTTCTATAAGAAAAAGATTGAGACTGAGCTTCAGATCTGAAGCATTAGCTTTTCACTTCAGAGTACAGTGCGATTGTGAAACACAGGTGATTATTTGCTTTCCCAGATTGTGTCATACAGAGGCTTTTATTTCATATTGTCTGGAGCAGCTAGATCTCAATACTGTTAATTATATTTTAGCATGCTACCAAATTTTTGGAACAAGAAACGTGCCACTGAGTCTCAGGTGATTGTGGTTCTTCATTTTCCAGCTTTGAGGACATCGTTTGCTCTCATTCTTTTCTTATTGTAGAGAACGTCATTTTTCTCTTTAGCCACACATCATCTAGGAGCCACTTTGAGCTCTATTCTCAAAACATTATTATGTAAAATGGGCATTTGTGAGGCAGAAGATATTTAATTGTGGGCAATTGCAAGCAGAAAATGGTATAATCCACCTTCTAAACCTCCTTCTGGCACTTTGGCAGATTTGTAAGTCTATTCCTTCCAAACCGTGTATAGAATTAAAATTTGAAAGCTGAGTACTTCCATTTTTGCTGTGTAATTTGAAATCTATGATCCTCTAGAATAAGTGTTGGCAAACTTTTTCCATAAGGGACCAGCTAGTAAATTTTGGGACTTGCAAGCCAAGAGGCAGAATCAAGGATATTATGCATAGACTTAGTTCATTTAAGTATAATCATTTAAATTATAACTATTGAAAACTGTAAAAACCATTCTTAGGTTAGAGGACATACATAAGTAGTGGGCCAGATTTGACCCACTGACCTTTAGATCAACAGTTTGTCAACTGTTGATCTAAAAGAATCTGAAAAGTCAGTAATACAAGCATTTACTATGTATTAGTTATAGTAATGCTTAAGCTTTTATATCCACTGTCACTTTAACCTTTACCACAATCCTTTGAGATTGCTTTATTTATTAGTCTCCTTTACAGATGAGATGATTGAGGTCCAGGAAGGTCTGATAACTTTTCCTAAGAGAGTAGATGGCAGAGCTGGGACCTGAACTCAGGTAGTTAGATACTGAAAGTTGAATAATGACTGAGAAAGTTTATGGTTTGACAAGAGAGGATTAGGGAGAGAGATAGAAGATATAAATAGGGAGTAATATTAATTACTCTTTATAACCCTCTCCATCCACTGGCAGGAGGATGAAGATACTACCAAGAATGAGCAAATAAAAAGAGAGGAAGAGAGAAATGAATGTTTGATCATTTTATTGAGCTGATCTAAAGTTTTCAGCTGTTGAGAATGAAATGTGTGAACATAGAACTTATAATAACTTTTCAAAAAGGAAGGTTATGGCAAGAGCAAGGTCTCTTTTTTATTGTATTTTTTTTTATTATTTTTAAGAACAAGGTCTTTTAATGCACCCTTCTGGCTATGAGCTGCTTGTTTTCCTTGGAAATATGTAAAAATTATTTGACATTATCTATGTAAGTATTTTCAGACCAGACAGATTGCTCAGAGTCAGACTGCGATACCGAGGATAGGCCAGGTGAAGTCTCAGGAAAGGATTCTTCAAGGATTTTCAAGGAAGTTTTTTTTTTTTTTTTTCCTTCTAGCTGGTGCCAAGGTCTGAACATGAAAGCTTGCTTTCTGTGCCATGTACAAGCCTCCTTCTTTTCATTCAATCTAAGACTGAGGGTATCAGATGTTAGTGCCAAACCTTTATAGAAGAGTTTCCTTTAAGATACTCATCTTGGGAAGATACTGTTCCCCAACTCTGCCCTGCTATATTCTGTGTAGCCATCAGGGTGGAAGTTCAAGGGCTCTGCATTTCATTAGAAATCTTCAGGATGTTGTTGTCTTGGGTGCTCACTTATTTCCTGGAGTCCCTGCAGTCACTTTGTTTTGGCCTCTGTGACTCTCTTCCTTTTATATTAGCTCTGTGATAATTTTCAAAAGTTTTAATTTATATATCAAATACAGCAGTTTAGTTGGTTCAGGTTATGTGGTCTGCCACTGGTGGAGGCAGAAGTGTAACTCACCCTTTTGGCAGATGGAAGGAGACGGAGACCAGAGGTGTTAGGCAAACTTGAATGTGGTTCCCAGATGCAAAGAGAATGCTATGACACTAAATTTATCTGGGCCGAGTCTTTATCTTTAGTTAAATAGGCCTGTTGTGGCAGAATTTAGTTAATGGGGTTGGAGCTAAGCTTTGGAGGTTTGATTTGAGTTGTCCAGCAGTTCTGATTAAGATGAGTATACAGTCATGTAGGTCATAGTAGATATAGAGAATGGGCTTCGAAGTCAGGCTGATATGATTCTGAGTCTCTATTTTATCATTTTCTTGGATGTTTGTTGCCTTGAATAAGGTTCAGCATCTGCTTTCCCATATGTAAAATGATGACAATTATTCCTGCTCTTGTAAAGATTCTGTGAGCCCAGGCAAATGAGTTTTGCTGCATGCCACAGAAATGCCATTCAATAGGTGGTGGCTGCTGCTATTTATACTCTTAAACCTAGAAAATATAGACAACCATGGTAGGATGATGGTTCCTTAGAGAAAATGGTCCCTAAGAAAATGCACATCTTCCCCAGTGACTTGAAACAGAAAATCTGGCAGAGCCTGTGCATTGCTGGCAAGACCCTAGTCTAGGAGTTCTGGAAAACAGCAGGAAGTCCTTCCTCTTGGGTCAAGGTGGAAGCCCTAGAGTCCTTCCAGAGAGGAAGCTCGGTGTATAAGCTGGATAAAAATTGGTAGCCAAGGTAAGATCAAACCAAACAGATGTAGATACCAGATCAGCCCAGGGGTCTGTGTAGGAGAGCTTATTGTTCCTTTTCCCCTTTTAGGGTTAAGGATGCTGGCAAATGATGGTGCCCTTACTTGATGCAGGACAGATCATGAGAGCAGCCTGCACTCATATTCAGGTGACAGAGGTCAGGCTAGTTAAGAGCTCTCTTGAGGAATTCTGGCATTTTGGCAAAACTGTATTTTTTTTAAGGCACAGAAGAAATGGAGCTGCCAACTCAAGTAATATCCCTTTTTTTTTTGTTCTCTGACATCTCCCTTAGTGATCTACAAGTGTCAGCCATTCCCCTGTGTTACTCTGAAGGTTCTCTCAGGTAGTTCAGATGTTGTGGGAACTACCTACCTGCTGGGTACATTGTGATAGGATCAGGCTGTGTCCTGCTATCAGATCCCACCTGCACTGTAATCCCATTCTGACTTCAAGCTCAGAAAAATAATATACTGAAGACTGGAACTTTCTTGGTTACTTCTGTTTAAATCTTTCACAAATCTATGTATGCAAATCAAGCCACATTTGGAGTGGCACTTAAGCTTGTAACGTCTTTACTTCTGAGACTTTCATTGTTTGAGGAATTCAATAATGATTTTTCAATTAAGCTTAAATGTTTAACAATGGAAGTTTCCTTTTCCCTTTAGTATAGGAAATGCCAAATAAATGGTATTTCAAAGAAAAGAAGCAATTCACCACATAACTAATGTACTTAGATCTGTTCATTGACCTCCAATGATGAAAAAGGCTTCAGCTGTCTATTTTTCATTGTGTAGAGTTAGGAATAAATGAATTGGTTCATGGTTGCTTAGATAAATGCATAAACAAAAGGAAAACAGAATAGAGATGTAGATTTGATACCGTATCTATTTTGAATCTGCAGACATTCTTAGAGAAGTGGCAGGTAGTATAGAAATAGCTTTTGAAAATAAATGTGTATAAATTCAGCATGCTGATACCAGTGACAGAAAATGTATTTCATTTTTTGATTCAGAGTTGTCTCCTTTATTGCTGTTTTAGGATTTAGCAGGCGCAGAAGGGAAGGCAAGAGGGTACATTAAGTATCTTTAAAAATTAGCTTTTTGCCTTAACATCCCTTTGCCTTTGTGTCTATTTGATGTGCTCTTATTATTAGAGAGAATAGGGCTTTTCAATGTTGTCATAAAAGGCTAAAAATATTAAAAATAAGAGACATTCAGAAGGAAAACAAAATCAGTCTTGAGAATAGCTTTCATTATATTAATACTGACATTTTCCTTGGAGTTGAGTTTTGTAGGTGAGCATAGCTCAGCTTCGTGGGACAGTGCTAGAAATTGCCACTGTTACCCTTAGGCAAGCTCCTGGATTTTAAGAAAGCTCAGATAGATATAGAATTGCCTTTTGGGTCATTTACTCTTTAAGAAGTTCCCTTCTTGGAATGACAGAGACACCAGAATTGTTCCAGATTTTCAGAGTAAGGCAGGTATGGGTCATCTCATGAAGGTACACAGTTCTGAGACCCTTTTAGGAGGAATGCAGATCTGGTTCAACTCTGTGGTTCAAGCCAAGGTCATAAATCTGTTACTACCTTATCTAGGAACTACTGGGGCTTAGAAATGAAGTAAAGATAAGTGATAAGTTACCACTTTCTTTTTGTTGAGGTTTTACATTTTAGATTCAACCAGCCGTGGACCAGCAATCTTCAGAAAAAAATTCCGAAATGTTACAGAAAGTAAAACTTGAGCTTTCCATGTACCGAGTACTGCGTTGAATCCATGTGAATGAATTGATGTCTAGACATTGTATTAGGTATTATAAGTTATGTAGGGATAAATTAAACTATATAGGAGAATGTGAGTATGTTATGAGCAAGGTACACTATTTTATATAAAGGACTTGAATATTTTCAGATTTTGGTATCTGCAAGTGTCCAAATCATATGCCATCATCCCTCAGTATCCAAGACTATCACCAAACTCAAAAGTGTATTTTTTTTCTATTTCCTAAAGCATTCCCAAATAGCTTATCATAGATTCTATAAACTCTATGATTAGGCTAGAGTTTTGTTTAATTAATTAATTAATTAATTAATTGAGATGGACTATAGCTCTGTTACCCAGGCTGGAGTGCAATGGCACAATCTTGGCTTACTGCAACCTCCACCTCCTGGGTTCAAGAATTCTCATGTCTCAGCCTTTAGAGTACCTGGGATTACAGACACATGCCACCACACCTGGCTTTTTTTTTTTTTCTTTTTTGTATTTTTAGTACAGGTAGGGTTTTGCCATATTGGCCTGGCTGGTCTCCAACTCCTGACCTTGGATGATGTGCCCGTCTTAGCCTCCCAAAGTGCTGGGATTATAGGCGTGAGCCACCATGCCTGGCGTAGGCTAGAGTTTTAAATGAAACATAAATTTCTAGAAGATCATGCATATTAGAAAATGTGATAGGAAGCTGATATTTCAGGCAGAGTCAACTCTTAGTTCTTTAGGGGCTGCTCATGGTGCATGGTGGTTGGTCTAGGATTCTTTTTGTTGTTTTATCTGTTCTTTGCTATTACCCACAAAAGGCAGATAGGGGCAAATTTTCTTGAGAAATCCCAAAAGCTTGGAAGAAGAGGATGGAATACATGACAAAAGCAAAGGTTAGAATTACATGTGGATTTCATTTCCAGAGAGTAGTTCTGGTATGAGTAATTCAGAGAATGTGTATGAAATGGAACCATAGTTAATGTGGAAAGACGGTCGGAAGTCATTCCTAAGGTTCATCTATTATATCTAAAGTAGTGGCTCAAAATAATCCTAGTTAGATCAAAGGTTCAATTGATTTCCTGTATGGGGAAAGTACTCAAGACATGAAAGTATAAGCATGACTGAGAAGGAAAAGAGAAAGTCAGATAATTTTCTGGGAAATGATATTTGGTATTTTTTTTGTTTTGTTTTTTTGTTTTTTGTTTTTTTTTTGAGAGAGTCTCACTCTGTTGCCAGGCGCCAGGCTGGGGTGCAGTGGCACAATTTTGGCTCACTGCACCCTCTGCCTCCTGGGTTCAAGCAATTCTCCTGCCTCAGCCTCCTAAGTAGCTAGGACTACAGGCATGGACCACTATGTCTAGCTAATTTTTGTATTTTTTAGTAGAGATGAGGTTTTACCATGTTGGCCAGGATGATCTCAATCTCTTGACCTCATGATCTGCCTGCTTCGGCCTCCCAAAGTGCTGGGATTACAGGTGTGAGCCACTGTGCCCGGCTGATATTTGATTTTTAATCCTGGTGGTCTCTATGAAAGGAAAAGGAAGGGGAGAGAAATATCACTGTTGGGTGAGTCACTCTGTTACATGGATGTGACAGTAGACAGATCATATCAAAGTGCTATATTTAGGGGTTTTTGCACCATGTTTTTGGAGGTAAACTGGAGTAGGCTGTATGAAAAGCAACCAAAAGAGAGGCTTGGAATGATATCATGAGGAGTGGTTAAGGGAATCTGGTGGTGCCAGGTGTGGTCAGGAGGACAGGATAACGTCAAATGGTGAGGATTAGGTTTGTCAGGATGGGTTATGATGAAAAGCTAGCTATGGCAGGAAAAAGAAAAAAAGATTGAACAGCCAAAACCATAAAAAATGTTTCAAACATTGAGAGCTAACTGGAAAAAATGGCCTTCCTTGGAAGATAATAAATGTTCCTCCACTGAAGATGTGCAAAGGCTAATCACTTGAAGTTTCTTGCGAGGATATTCAAGCTTTATAATCCCTTTCCAGTGGGAAGTCTAAGACTCTGTGATTATTGACAATACTGGGTAGCCTAGAAAAATAAAAAAAAAAAAAGGTTATTTTATAAAATTCTGATCTTACCTGGGGGTTTGGTTACTTCTCCTGACCTTCTAAGCACAAAAGTGAATTCCTGGGGCATTCTGTCTGGGGGATCCTCTTACAACTTCTCTTTTTTTCTGGCCCCAGCTCTCCATAATTTTTCATCAGACAGAAAACAGTGACTTCCTAATTTGTAAACCATGACATTCTAGTTAGTGTGTGAAGAACATAGAGAGGATAGTGGGAGATAAATGTAAGTGCCTCGGAGTTCCTGATTAGGTCTCCTGTAAACATCGTAATGAGTCCTTGAGAACAAATTCATTATGAGTGCTTTTGTGTGGGCTCGAACTGAAAGCACACACATTTATGAACACCCATGATGTTCCTAAGATACAGTTTAATGTCTCATTTGGTATTCATTAGACCATGATAGCCAATATGTTTTCAATTTAGAGTGATTCCACCTTGTGTAAAAAAATAAAAAAAAACAGATAATGCTAAGAACCAGTGAACTGTTCTGAGCATTTTTTTTCACTTCTTGCATGGATTTTTTTATTCTTGTTGCTGTTAGCATTGTTAGGACGATGCAATTGAATTACAGAAACTACATTTAGTAACTCTTGTTTGCAGCTAAATTATGCAGAGACAAGACTTAGTCAATTGGAAAACTGTCATTGTGAGAAGACCTGTCAAGTGAGTGGACTGCTCTATCGAGACCAAGACTCTTGGGTAGATGGTGACCATTGCAGGAACTGCACTTGCAAAGTAAGCCTCTTTGTAAATAAATGCAGTAAAAATAGTTTTAAAGGGACAGGTTTGATAATTACAGAGTGACCTGGTTCTTTAATGTTAACTCTAAGAATTATTACCTTTTTACCTAGGACCCACTAGTTATATGAGCAATTGTGAAGCAACACTGGAAAAGGGTCATGTCTTATATGAATACTTGGAAATTAAAATCTGCTTTTCCTGGCCAACACACTCTAATTTGATTTAATATTTTTGTTAAGTAATACACTGTTTGGAGTTTGAAGGTTGGGATATAGTGGAAAGAAGGGACTCTTTTGATTTTCAGACAACCTAATGGTTAGTCTTACTCACAACCAGAATAACTTTAAAAAGGGAGTTTAATTATTCTCTATGTGTTTTTATTGTCTTTTCCAAAGTGTATCTATAACCTGATTCAGAGAATTGCAAATCATTTTCTCCCTAACTCACTGTGACTGTCAGGATATTCATTATTTGTATATCCCTTCATCTGTTTCAGAGAATTATAACAGCTCCCTCCAAAATTTAGTATGGAAACTCTGTCCAGTTGAAATTATTTGATAAATATCTGGAGAATGCCATTGTTTGTCCAGGAAAATACAAAACAGATTGTTAGAGCCTCAGAAATGATTGACAGGGTCTGCAAATGTGTTATTTATATTCTTATAAAAATAGACTTTTTGTTTTCTGCATAATCTACTTAGCCCACATGGGCAGGTAGGATGAAACCAGTGATGTATTTCAGAAAAGTAATTGAGGTGGTATGGGTCAGTCGGGCTGGAGAAAACACTTTATTTGTGGTCCTGGAGTGGACTGGGAATTCTATTAATGCTTCTGTTTCCCTGATGAGGTTTCTGGGATGAGATTTGAATGATCTCCACCCCAGGAGCTATCAAAGGACACTTCTGAGATTATGTTCCATGTCCTTCCTTCCTCAGAGCGGTGCCGTGGAATGCCGAAGGATGTCGTGTCCCCCTCTCATTTGCTCCCCAGACTCCCTCCCAGTGCACATTGCTGGCCAGTGCTGTAAGGTCTGCCGACGTAAGTACTTACTGAGGGTCGACTATCTGCATTGTGAAATTTATTTATTTTCCCTGCTTTTCTGGACTTAATTGATTGACATTGATGAAATGAAACATTGGCAGTTGATGTAACATTAAATACGTGATAAGAAGAGCCACAATATTTTAATCACTTGCAATATGGCAGTTACTTAACATGGGCTATGTTTTTTTAATCCTCACATAAACTGTGATTACTATTCTTCTTTCATTCTATGTGGAAGGAACTTGTGTTCACAGGGATTAAGTTACTTGTCCAGTGTCAGACAACTGGGTGAGGCTGATCTGTAAATTCACAACTTCAAATCTCCATAGGCTTCAGCCCCCTCATTCTAAATCATCAAGTTAAAGGCCAGATTCTGTATTTTGGCTGGATTCTCCTGTTATTAAGTGGCCTTTGTTAGGAACTCCGGGATGAAATTCAGTTAAAATACTGAGGCTGTCATTTAGAACATGTGGTATGTGCTGTATACTGTGCTGGATGCTTTAATTCTGTTAGCTTAGTGAATTCTCACAGCAGCCATTTAGTTGGGTATTATTATTATTACCCCTATTTTACGGGAAGCTGTAAAAGCTATCGCTATTTTACAGGAGGCTTAGGGACATTAACTTACCAAGATTACGAAGCTGGTTAGTGGCAGAGGCGAGACAGAAAACTAGTTCTGTTGATTACAAAGCCCACAGTCTTTTTACCAATCCGTATGGTCTTCTACAGAAAAAAAGAGTTTTGGTTGTACATGTATATACTATGGGTAATTTTCAAGGTCATTTATCTGCCAAAAGAAAAACACCAATGTCAGTAGCCTTCAAAGCATAGTGGTCTATCATTCTGTCAGAAACAGCATGTCACCTATTACGACATTAAAAGTGGGAATAGCAGTGAAAGTGGGTCGCAGCAGCCCAAATAATTGTTGAACTTTTCAAAATGAAACTTTGTAATCTTCCTTCTTTTTATGGTTGGCACACTACACCTATTGCTCTGAGGGATGTACTTGGAGTTGGTCTAAAGAGAAGAAGTTTCTTATTTCTGTTCCAAGAGTATTTGGAAGTCATGTCTGGCAATATAGGCAGCTCAACTGTCTGGATATTGAATTATAGTTTGATCCCATGATGGAGAGAGTTGTTAGTAGGTACAGATTATTTGTTTTCATTCTTGATATTCTTCAGCAGAGGAAGAAGTTGAAAAACTATTAGGGGGCCAGGTGCGGTGGTTCATGCTTGTTATCCCAGCACTTTGGGAGGTCGAGGTGGGTCGATCACCTGAGGTCAGGAGTTTGAGACCAGCCTGCCCACATGGAAAAATTCCATCTCTACTAAAAAAAAAAAAAAAAAAAAAATAGCCAGGTGTGGTGGTGGATGCCTGTAATTCCAGCTATTTGGGAGGTTGAGCCAGAAGAATCACTTGAACCTGGGAGGCAGAAGTTGCAGTGAGCTGAGATTGTGCCCCTGCACTCTGGCCTGGGTGACAGAGTGAGACTCTGTCTCAAAACAACAACAACAACAACAAAAACGAACTATTAGGAATGTATTTAAAAATGTGAGATAAGATGTTTTAGTCTATTATTTAGAGTTCCTACACATATCTCTGAATACCATCTCTTGGAAGTTGTTGTTTGGACATAGGAGTAATGAATCTTTCAGTGGGTTTGTATCTTAACCTTTTGACATTCAAAAAGAAATTATAAAAGCACTCTGCTTCTGGCTTAACATTCTGAAAACACAGAGAATGATAAAGATCAAGGTAGAAAATTCACCCATAATACCTCCACTTAGTAACACTCACTCTTGAAATTTTAGTGGATGTGTCTTCTTTTTTAAACAAAACAAAACAAATTATACGTTGTGTGTAGTTGGGGTTGTACTGTGCAGGCAATTTTATATTCCACTGTTAACTTACCATTATCACTTAAATGTATTATTATGTTTTAAAAATTTTTCTGCGTAAATGTCATTTTCATGAGCTTCATTGTTTCTCATTGTCTGGCTGTTGCGTAACTTATTTCTAACCAGTCCCAAATCACTGATATCTAGATTGTTTCCTACTTTTCCCTATTATAAATTACTCTTCAATAACATGTTTTATATAGAAAACACGTTTTGTATATTTTTGCATTTTATATTTCCTTAGGATAGAATTAAGATAGAATTCTTCAGGGTAGAATTACTGAGCCAAAGATGAACATTTTCAAGGCCCTAAATACATATAGTTAAGTTGTCCTCTCACTGGTCGTGTGTGGGGCAGTCATTTGTCTTTATGCTAATTTGTCTGATAGTTTTAGTTTTTGAAAATTATTTCAGAAAAGAATTCAATTTCATTAAAATGTTGATACACACACTAACTAAAACATCAGCGTCTGTGTGTTTTTTTCTTTGCATGGAATTCACAGCAATTTAGGTAGCACTAATTTTCTCATAGCTCTGATTAGTAATTTGCTGTGTTCAGAGCTTATTTAATAAAGTGGGAATACAAATAAATTATTAAAACACTATTCTAAAAAACTTAAATGATACAAGGCACCTCTGGTAATTAAAAGGTTGAGAACTTCTGGGCTGGAGGGCTTTCATTTCTTACTAGTTTTTAATAGACATATGCATTAGGTGGTTACTGAGTACTGGTGCCTGGAATAATGATGAGGGATCCTTCCCTGCTTTAGAGGAGCTCACTTTTGAGGTAGAGACATGGTTTACAGTGTCTGGAACTGTACGTGCACTAACATTAGGCATGGGTACCGGGCACTGTTGGAGCACAGAGGAATGGCCTGAGAGGGATATGGAGGATACTGGGGGAAGGCCTGGGATGCTTCCTGGGGGACATGGAGCCAAGTTAAATATTTTGAACCTTCTAAAAGTTGACTTTTGTGGGCTAAGCAGTGGGGTGGAGAAGAAGAGAATGAGGATTGCTAGAGCAGAGTTCTAACACTAATCAGTGGAATTTCTAGAAGTTCTCAATATCTTCACATCAGAAACATGGTGGAGAATTTACTTTGGTTATTCCTTTTAGATGTAAGTATGTGAGGCAATGCATATGTTAGTTATGCACAGATTTCTGGTCAGAAATGTACACTATGGATAATTTTTAAGTCATTTATTTACCAACAGAAACATACCAACGTTAGTAGCCTTGAAAGCACAGTGGTTTGTCATTCTGCCAGGAACAGCATGCCACCTGTTATGACCCTAAAAGTGGGAACAGCAGTGAAAGTCGGTCGAACTTAGCCATATCACAGTGCCTACATATTTCAAAACATCATGCCATACACCGTAAATATGCATACTTTTTATCAGTTAAAAATAATAAAATGGAAAAAATGACAAAGAAAAAATGAAGTGTATCTTGTATGAACAACTTGTAGTCAAATCTTTTTTTTTTTTTTTTTTTTTGGAGACAGAGTCTGTTGCCAGGCTGGAGTGCAGTAGCACGATCTTGGCTCACTGCAACAACTTCTGACTCCTGGGTTCTAGTGATTCTTCTGCCTCAGCCTCCCAAGTAACTGGGACTACAGGCACATACCACCATGCCCGGCTAATTCTTGTATTTTTAGTAGAGATGGGGTTTCACCGTATTGGCCAGTCTGGTCTTGAACTCCTGACCTCATGTTCCGCCTGCCTTAGCCTCCCAAAGTGAAGGATTACAGGTATGAGCCACCGTGCCCAGCCCAAATCTTGTTTTTTAATCCAGTCTGACAGTCTGGATCGTTTTGTTTGGATTGAATCATTTAATCAATTCACATTTAATGTTGTGAGGGATATAATTGAAATTAATGTTTCCTAAATAACATATTTTTCCTTGGTTTCATTCCTTATTTTGATTTATTTCATTTTTTTTTTTGTAGAGCTACCTGAAGTAAATTTCTTATATGTGAATTTAAAGTAAAATACCCAAGCTTCTCTGTGACTTTAGGTGGGGTAGTATTCTAGGGACATCAGGTAAAGGAAAGGATATGACAAAGGCACAGTGAGACAATATATAAAATCAGATTATTTTGTCTGCTCACTCACTGAATGTTAGACTTCTCATGGCCTTGGGAGCTGCAACACTTACAGATGAGGGCATTTGTTTGGAAATAGGAAAGAAGTTTGTCTAAGCATCCATGGCAGTACAGAAAATAGGGAGTTTTATTCCTCGAACATTTGTTGGATGTCTGCTCTATCCAAGGCATATTTAATATACCTAGTTGCACAATAAAATCCCCTGGTGAACTTCTTAAAATTGAAAGTTTCCAGGGCCTCATCTAGACCCACATAATTACACTCTCCAGAGAGCAACATCCTGAAATCTATATTCTTTCGGTAGATGGATTTGAGATCTACCAGAGAAAGGAAGGAAGGAGGAAGATGGAGAAAAAAATATTTCTGCTACACAAAACAGTATGTGTGAAGCAATAAGGGTTGAAGAGGGGAAGGGGAATTGTGTGTTTGATGATAACACAGGATTTTTGTAGGTGAGAAGTAGAAATAAAGCGGCAAACATGAGTTGGGGATGGATGATGAAGATTGTATCCCAATGAAGTCATTTGGTAATCCTTACTGAGGTCCTTCTGCTACATTTGGTAATCCTTACTGAGGTCCTTCTGTTGTCGTTTCTGGGGGCAACAGTGGACACATGTGGATCATTCACTCTATGACAGGCACTGTGCTTAACCATTTTATGTATATCAATTCATTTAATTCTTCCAACAACTCTAAGTGGTAAGCTCCACTATTATCCCCATTTTACACATGAGGAAGTGAAACATAGAGAGGAGAGGTAACTTGTCCAAGGTCTCTCAGTTTTGGGGGAGCCAAAATAAAGCCCTGGCAGCCTGGCTTCAGAACCCAGTGGGATGCTCTTGACCTGTTGGCTCTACCCATTGCTCTCCAGAGAGATCTCTATTATAATAAAGAGTATTATTTCACATGAACACTATGGAAGACACAGAGGTTACATGGAGAAGGGAGTGATTAACTCCATCTGAAATTTACATGTGTATATGTATGTTA